TGCACAGCATCAGCAATAATTGTTACTCTTTATATTTGGAGAATAATAATCACGATAATAATGATAATATCAATAGTAATGATGATGGTCATGATAATAATAATAATAAATAAATAATACTAATAATAACAATAATATTTAAAGTATGCAATGTGGGACAGTTACATTGAAGGGCAGCGACTAACAATTATTATTGATTAATCTGTTCCATTTATTTTCTGTCAAATGTTGGGAAAGGGTGAAAATGCCCTCACAAGTTACAAAAGCCCAAAGTGGCATCTTGCTTGTTTTGTCTGACCAACGAAGCAATGAATTCATTTTTGCACGGTAAATGACACCTGATGATTATTAGATAATTGTTGCTATTGATTAATTTTCTTTTGATTGAATATGATTTAAATAACTACTTGTTTCTGCACAAGAAGGCTCACTATTTCCGAAATACTACAGCTTCAATTTAAAATTACTATTAATTTTATGTTTCTCACAGATGAAGTCCTGTTAAATACAAGTGACACAAATACTTTGTTGAGTAGTTTGTAATCTAAAAAAGTTACAGAGTAAATATATTAGGAAACAGTCATTTTCCACCTACATTCTTGCAGTTTTCTAAACTCCAAATGTCAGATATTTCCAAAACCGTTACACCATTTTTAGTTACTTGGACACAGAATTGTTCAGTTTTGGTACGTGGTTTTCTCGTTTTCGTGTAAGATAAAAGAGTGTTTCAAAACTACTCATCAGGATATTTGTTAATGTTTATGATGGTACATAGAACATGATAAAACTGTATTGTTAGACTTGCACAAGGAAAGTTTGTTTGTAAGGATAAAATATTTCTGGATTGACAACCATTGGATTTCCACATAACAAGCACTAAAGTTGGACCACTTCTTCATGAACACCAAAAAGAGTGTATGCTACAGCAAACTTTTAGGTTCTCATGTCACTGCACTGGATCTGTGATCCCAGCCTTAGTAATGTGCATTAAAGTACAAAATCTATGTACTGTTTAAGATGCTGGCAGCTGTTTAATCTAGAGATAAATTTAGGCAGACACATCAATGGGTCTGTTAATATCAACATTTTAAGTACATAAGTATAATGAAAACTCCAGGATGAAAGCAATCTCAATAAATGTCAAGTTGCCAGAAAGAGGTCCTCGGGGAGTGAATATATTCACAAACATGTCTTTTTTTGGCTTCATTTTTATGTCTTAAGTGGAACCGTATATGTTTCTCTTTACTCATTCATGGTTTTGACTTGCAGCTGATCTGAAACAGATACTTTGTTGGTGACTTAAACATACACACACAGAGTAACCCACTTTACTGGGCTGAACTGGACCAACCAAAAACAGATCCATTTTTGATTTGGGGGTGGATATAAGGGATGAATACACAGACAGACACATGGATATACACACCAGTAGAGCTGGGGCAGAGGCCTTAAGTGAGTACAGCTGTGGAGCCAGATGTGCTTTTGAGTCCTGTGGTGTGTGTGCATTTTGCTTGCATGTGTGAGTCTAAACCTAAAAACCTACTCTGCTCATTCTGATCCCTCTACAGAGTACTGTGTTGCTCTTTTGTCTCTCTGTCTCTCTCTCTGTTTCTCTCTGTCTCACCAGCTTCCTGAGTAACAGCAGTCACAATACGACCTGAAATGGGTTCAACCCACAGTTGTGTGTGTATATATAATAGTGCTGGGCAACGATTCAAATATTTAATCGCGATTAATCGCATGGATTTTTTGCGATTAATCGCGATTAATCGCATTGTTATGACAAAGTTCAATAATGAATTTAAAAGTAGTGTATTGCGCACTTTTATTTTAAAAGTACTGCTATATGAACAAAAGGGCAATAACATTTGGTTCATGAGATGCAGGTAGCATGTTTTATACTTAATGTGAATATAATTCATACTTTGTTGGCATCTTATTCTGAAAACCGGATGTTCGTCTGAAGAAACCGGATGTTGTCTCACATTAATCTTTCCGCTAACTTTCAAAGTCCTTCGCTCGCTCCCGATCTGTGCCATTTAAATGCGTTTACCATGAATTTCAGCATATAGGTGCACTAAAATTACTGACTATAGGATGTTTGCTGGCTTTTATCCCACTGTTCTTGTCATCCTCTTGTTGTTATGTATATGTATTGTCTCTTGTCTTTCAATTAAAATTTTTTTTTTAAAAATTAAAAAAAATTATAATAAATTTAAAAAATGCCTTAACGCGCGACAAAATAATTGTCGGCGTTAATTAATGAATGCGTTAACGCGAAATTAACGCGAAATTAACGCGTTAACTTGCCCAGCACTAATATATAATAAATGAATGAATGAGGTACCTTCTCTAAGACTCAAATAGCAGGATGCAAAAAAAGTGGATGAGCACACACAAACATCAAATATCCTGACATTTAACCATAGTGACAAATTCTTACATGGAAGCTTGTGTGTATGTGCGTGTGCTTTCACAAACTCTAACAAACCGCCACACAAACACGCTAAATGCCCGACAAGCACAACAAACACACACAGAGCTGTAGACATCCAAACAGCAAAATATTCACGGTAAGACCGGTGAAGGTCATCACTAGCATAATATTAACAGCCCTATGTGTGTGTGTGTGTGTGCGTGCGTGCGTGCGTGCGTACGTGCGTGCGTACGGCTAGCATGGGTCAAGCATGACAGGTCTACATGGTTCAGAGCTCTGTGCGTGTGTGTGTGTGTGTGTGTGTGTGTAGTTGGTGGATGTGTGTTTTTATTCTAGCTGTGAGGGGTCACATATGTCCCAGTGTCCTGTGGGAATAACATGGGGCCTCATGCTGACAGCACAACAGGAAGGGACACACACACGAACTTTCTCTCTCTCTCTCACACACACACTCAGCTGAAGTGCTGCTCTGGCACATTTGGTGAAGGAGAAGGATTATTCGGTCACATGCTTCACCAAGGACATGAGTTCAGGTTTTACCCGACACAAAACACCAGGGTAGGTCAGTTAATTATTGTCAGAAGAGAAGGCGGAAGAAACCAGACTTTAACCCAAATATTGTATACCCAAATTCTGTTAGGCAAAAATTCAACAGGACAGTGCAGCTATTATACTAGTTATGGGATTAACCTTCACAGCTTGTTTTAAGTCTTCACATTATACCATGTAAAAATACCATGAAAGATCTAATTGACATGCTATATTTTATTTTTTTTTACTGACAATGAAAATATCCAGTGTGCTGCATACACAGTGTATTACACACTCATGTACAAACTCCCACTTCTTCAGTCCATTTTCTCGTTCATACTTTTGAGTTTGAATCTCTCAAGCCAATTTCTTTCATTGACAAAATCCTTGAACCAAAGCCAGATATTTTGTTTTGTTTGTGATTACCCGACAACTGTTTGTAGTCTGCACCATCGTTTTGTGTACTAGGTTCAGTGTTACATTGAAGCCAATTTCTGTGTCTGCAGCTATTAAATACATACTCAGCTTAATTTATGTTATATGCAGAGATGTTTTCTACAAAGACATACAGCTCCTACACCAATTACAATACTGTAACTTATGTGCCTGCTTATCCTACATTGCAATAAAGTTAACCACAACAGGGGAGGCATTAATCAGTCTGAACTAAACCCAACCTCACAAATAACATTTTAATTAGTGGTCTGCCCACCAACAGTCGCCATTAACCCCCACTGTTCCTAACAAATTCCAACTGTCATGTTGTTGAGCTAATGAGAAGAACCCACTGTTTACACCTCCGTCTCTGTTTCACTGGCTCTACTGTAAGTCTCTCTGTCCCACTATAGCCCTATATCTGACTCCAACTCGCTGGATGCACTTTATCAGCCCCATGGTGCATAATACATGCTTATTTGTTACCAATTAACTCCAAGTCTGATGCGTGGCCCCACTGCATTCATAAGTAAAATCCAGTCAACTGCAGCAGAAGAACATTGAACCCCGAGGCAACATGTTAAAAAAATTATGCAGACTCAAAAGCCCTGCCAGGAGGACTTCCAGTATGTTCTTTTTCATGCTTTGTAAATGCATAACCACTGATTTTCTACCAGCCAAACCAATGTCAAAACCAAAATGTCATTTATCTGACACAACAGATGTACAACAGCACAACGTGCATGAAGCATCTATTCAGTGTGGGCTGGCTATACAGTATGTCGCAAAAACGAAATACACATGATGATACATTTGTATAGTATATGATTTGCTGGGTAAGAATTACTGTACTGATGGAATTAAAATTGATTATATGGGTTACCCGAAGAAAAACAAAATACATCACCTGTCAAAGAAAATTAAAAAAGGCTGCAGTCTATCTATATGTATTAATATCTGCCCTAAGTGGCCAATGTCTTTCAGTAATCTATCATCTTAATCCCCTCAAAAGGAGAAAATACCATTGAACAAAGTGAAGTCATTGATTTTGGTGAAATGATCAATCAGGTAAACTGGAGAACTATTATTTTGTTTTTGGCATTGTGTCAGTAATTGATGTACAGCTTCAGATAAGATAATTATCTTAAATCCCAAAGGCTGTTCAGTCTCTGCTCTTTTCCAAAGCCGGTCAAATGAGGGTTGGACAAATTACAGCATCCTTATGATTTATGAGAACAATAACTCTGACTACACAGCAACGCAGCAAGCAAGGGAATGATTAGAGGCCCAGTCTTTCATGAGCAACCAAGTTAATATGTGTCACTGTCCAAATGCCACAATTAATGAAGGAACAAGTTATTTTTGGAAGCTGTGCACTGAGCATAGCCAACTCACCCCTAGGTGAGCAAATACTGCAAACACCTATGCAATAGGATTCACACACACACACACACACACACACACACACACACACACACACACACACACACACACACACA